GTGGGAGCAAAGAATGATCGTGCAACAGATGCTGCTACACTGCCATCTGCCGCCCACAACGTGCACGCACGTGGCAACGCGAGACGTTCCGAGGAGGGGCAGATACGTCACGAGGCGTAATGTCTGAAGATTTATTTTGTCACTTATATTATGCACAACGACGCTCATGATGATTGTGTGCTGTTTATTCTATCGCTTAGCAACGAATCAGGACTCGTATGTAAGAGAAGGGTCCTTGCCTCTAACCATCTGGCAGCTCACCAGCATTGGTTCAACTTTGCTTGTATTGAAACAATGCTGGTGACGTTATGCACTTGCAAAACACCGTGTGTGTCTGCTTGAACTAATGCTCAGGAACTGGCAGAAGAGTATAGGTAAGGACCCTTTCATGGGACAAGCAGAGCTCACACCGTGAAAGCAAAGTCACATCTCTTATAAATGCCGAGGCGGGCAGTCAGGGCCAACAAGGTCTTCTCTGCTTGGCCTCGAGATTGTCAGAATCATAAAATTATATTTGTATAATTTATATATATTTTCATTAATGCCATATGTATTTTACAAAGTTCGTCCCCATCAATCTATTAACATTATTTCATTGCTACTCTCTCCCTCAGTTGCGCTGCTTCCAGTGCAGCTCGTATAAAATAGAGCTTTTATTATCCAATCAGATGTTCCACCTGTGCTGTCTCTGCCTCTCCGGGTGAAAAATCCTTCAGAATGTCGAGTGAATGTCGAGTGAATCCCCTCTGCTGTTGAAGCAAATGGGGACGATGTTGTTGATTGTCACATTCTTTAACCAATCAGATTTCGAGTTTGCCATGTTCGGTGTATTCTTTGACACGCGGGAGCCTTCTAGCTGGCCTAGCCCGCCTACGTTAGCCTTGTTCGCGTGGCGTGATCGGAGGGCCAGTTAGCTAACTGAACTATTTGTGATGCAGAATCCTGTCATACTGCGTAATAGTGGTGTATCGTTGATGGTTTCAGTCACGATGTATTCATGTCTCTGCAATTAGTGTATTGTAACTCTCATAGGTGTTGAGCCTCGTGTTAAATCACTTTATTCCACTCGATAAAGGTTACTGTCACTGTGAATATGGGGTGGTTATGTCAAATGACAATAGTCTATAGCCCAAGTGACATGGTGAGGTTTTTCGAAGGCGGTTTAATTGCGGGAGGAGAGCACTGAAGGCCGAGGTGTAAAATACACGGCCCGACACTGTTTAAACGTTCCCAGAGCTGGGCTCACCAACGCTGCATCCTTATACTGCATCTTGAGTTAATGCTGCCCTTTTGCTGGCAAGACTCGTGTCAATGGCTCATATAAAAACTCCGTTTTAGTTCAGCATAAAAATCCACGACGATCACCACACTCAGCAACCACCGACAAGTTGCGGTGAGACAAGGCGATCAGCGATGCATCTGTTCGAGACCAGGTGGGTGCCATACAAAGCAGCCACCCAAGCTGCCTGGCATCCTTTGACGCTTATCAGACAAGTGATGAGCCATTCTCCACCCAAAGTTGGGTGATTGCGCTTTGTGATCTCACACTGCTACTTCTAAATGGCCTTACATTTACGTGGAAATTTCCATAAATGTAACTTATGGGCCATCTTTTGAACCCTTTCCAATTAGAGTTGAAAGCATTAATATATTTGCCCTGTTAATCTGTCTGTAATGGTGGAGTAATGGTAACTGTAGTAAAGAGGATCCAATAAAATTGAAACTTTTCAGTTTGGGTGTATTGTTAGGCACTTCATCTAGAGAATAGCAGCCAAATGGATCAAACCGTTGCCCAAGACTTGGCAACGAGAAAGCAGAGCTCGAGGGATTTCTATTTCCTGGCAAACGCTAAGCCATCATTACGCGTCGCATTGTAAGAAGATGTCACATGGCATGTACTCGCCTCCTCCCCCAATATGTGATGTCATCTCATACCATCAGGCACCATTCGACATATCGCTGTGCGGTGTGGAACACAAGATCGTTATTGCTACTTAAATACTATTGAGAACCATCACGTGCTGGGAAGTTTTACACAATCCATGCCTATGTATTATTTTTCTACCTTGTATTGTTGTATATATAGAACTAGATTATTTTATGGGTTCCACCTAAGTGTGTGTATACGAATACACAGAAGTATCACAGTGCGAGAAATTAGGTTTCAGTACCTTGGGAAAACGTTTTTTTTGTCCATCATTATTGGTGTCCACGGCATCTTCTTTAAATCTCACAGTTGCAGCATCTGCAGGGTCACGGGAACGTGTGCAGAGTCTTTGTGGAAGGGTGACTTTTGCCAATCGGCAGTTCTCTAAAGGTAGAGCTTCACAGTCGAACTGCATCCAGTGAATGCAATTCCATTTGCCTGCCAGAGGCAAACGGCAGTGGCATTTAGGTGGGCAGGTGCAGTACCTGCTGCAAACAAAAGGTGAACGTGACGTTCGGCTAAAATTGGAGAGAAATCCTCAAAACCGCTACACTATCGGCAAGGAAGGAAGTCCATGGAATAGCGGATGAGCCAACAGCACCTGAAGCTCCCCCCGATCCTCCTGACTGACATAATAGAAACCAGAAAGATCAGAAATCCTGGCCATTGGCTCGAATGGCGGTCTTGTTAGAGCACGAACCGCAGATCCAGAGTGACGGATACCGGAGTGATGGACACCGGACACTGGCGAGGATGTGCAGAGGTGAACGTCCAGTGGTATAACCTTGCATTGCAGCTGTTCAAATATCCCGGAGTTGGGAGTCCACTCTCCCGGGTCAAGTCATCCTCGGCTTAGTGCGTCCAATACGAAGTTCTCCATCCCAGCCTGCGGAAACGTCTGTCATGATACGGCCCAGTACAGCAGTTCTTCTGCCTCCATCAGTGCAGTAGTCGAACCATGGGGATCCCTGGCAGATAATGTGTTGCTGCACCGGGTCAGGAAGGATTTCCGATAGGTCTGCTCATTAAAGTGCCGCATGGCGAGGTAAATGGCTCAGAGCTGTAGAAAGTTGATCTTCCCCTTCGTGCGAGGCGGCCATTTGCCCCGCACCGAAATTCTGTGCAAGTGAGCGTCCCAGCCCCACGCACTGGCGTTGGTTTCCAACATAAAGTCCGGGGCTGCATCCCCCAGGGAAAGAGCCCCCTGCGCGTTTGAAGGGCTCGTTTACAATGGCAAGCTGTCGGTAGCCTGAATAGCAATCGTCACCCTCTGATCGAGGCTGCTGTGTTCGGGATCCCAGCGCGCGACTACAATGACGCGTGTGTTGCCATGGCGACCGAGTGTTCGATCGCTGCAAGACGGCGATTCCCGCCAGTGAGCATCACCGGCGGGAATCGCCATCTAACCATGGGCACGCTCCCATGATGCACTGCGATCGCTACCTGGGACCCCCGCTGTGACGGTATAACCTGAGACTCGACTCAAAGACTCAGAGGGTAGAACATAGCCCCACAAGTTGGTGAAGCGGTGCCTCCACTCTCATCTTTCAAGAGGGAGCAGCTTGTTGCAACCAAGGAGACATGTCTCGAAGTCGTGTGTGAAACCCAGACAAGCAAAGCATTGGTCGAGGGTGTCCCTTATAATGAGCTCTGCGTTGCATTTACAACACTTCGAACAGCGTTTCGCCAATATCAGAGTATTTATTTATTTATTTCTAAAATGGCTGCAGACATAAACAATCAATTAGAGCAGCCGAGAGATAGCAATTTTACTTTACAAAAGGGGGAAAAAGGAGAAAGTATGTACAGACTTTGCTTCATATATGCTCCCGGCTCTATTCTGTCATAATATCCTACCTAATTTGGCCTCTGTAATCTATATTTTTTATATTGGGCATGGCTTCATTAAGCCCCTAGGCTCCCACTCCTCGTGAGTGCAAAAATTAAGTGATGCACTATGGGTAAAGAGATATGGGACAGGAAGTGGGGAGATCGGGCACTAAGTATTCACACCAAAGCCTTCTCTGCACACCTGTGCGTGGACTTGTGAGAACTGCTAAGGTGAGGTGACAGGAAGACGCTGAGGACACCAACAAAGATCCAGAAGAAGCACATCACTGGAGGGGTGGTGGGGGGGGTCTCGTGCAGCGTGGGAACTCGTGTCCAGGGAGCCACGCACGTGCAACACGGCAACATACCCAGGCGTGACGGTATCCATGGTGACGGTATCTAACAATAAACATTTTCAGAGTATTGGCAGCATTTGTAATACGGTACTGAAAGAAAGTATGCTATGTTTGGCACTAATGGAAGTTTTGAAATGTGCTTACGATGGGAAGCTTGTGTGGGACTTGTAAGCTGTGCTGCATTAGTGCACAGCATGAATACAAAATAATACATTTACAATAATAACGTGATTTATTCATCCAATGAGAGCCAAACCGAGTCTCAAGAAACAATTTCAGGGGGTACCTGCATTGGGTTGCTTGGTCAAATCCATGTAAGAGCATTTTGAGCGTGTGCTCACACAACCTCCTTGCTAAGCTACCTCTCGGCTCAGCAGGTGTTGGAGGTTTACAAATGTGCATGGGACATCAACCATCATCCTGTCAAGAGTGCTGGATCACAAGCAGGAGCCACCACACCCAGCTGGAGTGACCAGCCAAAGCTCTGTGGCTGATAACGAGTTAGCTACATCAACTATGTGGCTGCACTACGCCATTCATCATGGGTCCATGTTTCTTGGCAGAAAGAGTCACGGTTTAAGACCATGCATGCAAATGCAGTGTACTTTAGTGTTTATTACAGGAAATGTATTTAATTTAATATTGATACATGCTTGTGCAGTTTTATTTATTTATTTCTGGAATGCGTTTTTTTTGCTCCGATTTCTATTTGCCTCGTTGTTCTACTTTGATTTACATCATTGCGTTCGTCACATTGGAGACCCACAACACTCTTCCAAGTGAGACTCCTCCTGGTCGAGTTTTCAGCTGGTTTAGCAAAATAAACCCCGAGTCTAAGAGAGCGGCCGTGCCTCAAGGGCGGCGGGGGGCGCGTTGCGCACGCTTACATTCGCCAGCGAGTGCGGGAGGCGCGCCGGGGAGCTGTGGTCGCTGGCCGTCACCGGGCGCACGCCGTCGGACGACGTCGTAATCTCCGACACAAGCGACGAACGGCGCGAATGCCCCACGCTGACCATGCCTGGGCAGTGAGAAGTGCGATACCGGTACGTCAGCACAGTACACAGCACAGTACACAGCAGCAGTACACAGCACCAACACACAGCACAGCACCAGCACAGTACACAGCACAGTACACAGCACAGTACACAGCACAGTACACAGTACACAGCACAGTACACAGCACAGTACACAGCACAGTACACAGCACAGCACCAGCACAGTACACAGCACAGTACACAGCACAGTACACAGCACAGCACAGTACACAGCACCGTACACAGGACGTCAGCACAGCAGCAGCAAAGCAGCAACACAGCACGTCAGCACAGTACACGTGGCTCCACATCGTGTAATTAAGAACACATTAATTTATTGTGAATATTACACTTGTTTACCCAGGAAAGGCTTGCAGAGTCTGAAGACCCTTGTTCAGGAAGGTCCGACAAAGGCAGGCACTTTTTGTTCATGCAGCTTTGCACCACAAAATGCTGAAAATTTGTAACACGTGCATCTTTTTGCACAGAGGCGTGGAAGACCAGAGCAAATGGGAAGGCAGCCAGAACCGGTGCCCCAGCTCTACATATTGTGGGTTTCCTCCAGCTACTCTGGTTTCCTCCAACACGTATGAACCCTCATTAATGGAGTTGGCCAAACACCTCAATATGGCACCACAAAGCTGGGAAAATTATTGGTAGTGCTGGTTGTGGCTGCCTTCCCGCTCGTTTGCCGTTTCCCGCGGCTCCGTGCAAAAATTTTCCGGGCGGTTTGAGATACCGTAGCCATGTCGCACAAACGATGTACGCTACATAAAAGAATATGTTATCGTGATCATCAGCTGTGAACGCTAGGGCACCCACCTTTCCTGTCCATGGTGGAGGCAGCGCCCTGTGCGGTGGTAGCCGGGTGCTGGGGGTAGTGTCCCGGCTGGGCCGCCGCGGCCACGTGCTGCGTACTGTTCTGCAGGCTCTTACGGATCGCCGCCGTGACCGTCTCGTGTGGCAGGGGCCACTCCGGGGAGTCCCCCGAGTCGGACGACGTCACGAGGGACTGCCGCTTGGACGAGTCCCTGCTCGCGGCCACCAGGGACTGCCTGGCCTGGAGGGACGACGGCGACCGCCACGTGACTTGCTTGCTGACAAACCAGAGTCAACCGCTAGTTTTTACAAACCAACCCAAAACCGAACCTAAATATAAACAAATCTGCTCTAAAACAACAAAAAATGAAGGTTCAGTTGCCAGTTTAAATTGGTTCAAAATGTTTTTTTAGAAGAACTGTTTGTACGCCAGGGGACACATTTGCTGCGGTCCATGGTGTGGCTGCTGTCCGGTCGAGCGAACAGCTCGCGATGCGAAGACAGCAGAGTTCACACCCTGGCTGGGGGATGACTTGGCCCACCATCGCTTTGTACCACTTCGTGGGAAAGTCAAGAATGTAAGCACTGGAGATATACTGTACTCGCCACCGTTATGGGAATGTGGAATTTCCACCAGGGCTGTAAACAGGAGATGAGCACGACTATCTCAACGCTCACTGGAGTCGGAAATAATTTCGAATCAACCATAGAGAGTTTGTCATCCTTATTACTGAAATATACCAAACTAAATTTAATATAGTGGGATATTTTCGTGCAGTCATTGTTGACAACACTAAGGAAATTAATCCCTCCAGGAACAGCGAAAGCACAGGGCACGAACTGTAGCCATTGTAACCAAGGACCCACGGGCACGGCTCCAGAATCTGAGCAGTCGGGGTGCTCCATCTCTGATGGAAATCATGGGTCAGGCACCGCTAAGTTGGGGCTAAAACTCATTTTGTTTTACGCGTAGAAATGTCAGCTCCAAGCTGAAAAGGTGACAAGCACAAAATTGTTACGTTCACTCAAACCAAAGGAATTTCACCGAGTTCAGCATGGCCATCACGTAAACAGCGAAGCATGCAATGTATTAAGTCTGGCGAGGATTTGTCGACAACTTGTCAGCAACCAAACACGTAGAATGCTTGCACTAAAACACAAAAAATTATTAAATAATAAACTCAAGCATGCCTATTCAGCGCCGCACATGAATAATTATTTAACACCACAAATTGCTTTGAGTTCCTTTTTTCCCCCCTGTAACCCTCATTATATATACACACAAAAATACATTTGCTACAAACACAGTCTACTATTTATCTAACAATACAAATTTTATTAAAGCAGAGATTATGAAAAATTATTAAATGTAGATTAAACTGTGTATTGCTGCTGTGATGAATGAATGGAGCCAGCTTATATTGTATTCCTTACTTAACTAATGATCTTGTGAGGCCAACGTTCACGCTGATTAATTAATCAGCAGCTGTGTAAATGCCCCCACTTGTCTGAATTTTTCACGATGGCCCTGCATTGTATGTATGTTGGACTTCTTTTGCACAGTACGTAACCAACCGTGCTTCTGGTGTTTGTGCTGGGCACGCTGTGTTAAATATGCACGGTCTACACTTCCCCTCTTGTCGTGTGATCAGCTGTGTACCCCAATTCCTGCATGGACCAGATGCTCTCAGGCAGAGCGTGCCGCCGTACATGCGTAGATTTCTGGAATTGCTGAGACACGAAATAGACTTCACTCGTTATAGTAATTTCAACTTATAACGTGCACAGCATTCACTCACTCGCAAAGAGAGAGATAACGACTCCCAGACAAGAGGAATGGCAGGTAAGCAGAAAAGCAGCCACGCAGTGAGCCGGTGCCAACAATTGCCCAAGCTCTGTGATCCTCAATATATTAAGATGTTATCGGCCAATTAAGTGTTTAAATGTGGGAGGAAACTGGAGCCCCCGGAGTAAACCCACGTGTGCAAGGAAGAAACACTGCATCCCATACAGACAGAGCAGGTGGAGACTTTTTCTGTACTGCATTCATCTGACGAGCTCGCGGAAAGGACATTTCAAAACATTTCTGCAGTGATCCACCAAGCCTCGCTGCTGCCTCCAGCGCTGGACTACAGGCCACACGCATAGCCACCACCGCCAAGGTACGGTATTGCATACCGTGGCACAGCAAGTGGCTTTTATAGCACACTTATATTATTCTCAACACTAGATGATACGCAACACAACAATCAATTGCGTCATTGTGGATAGAAGTAGATAAGGACACAACTCGCCTTCTTCTCATATTTGTTGCTCCATGTAAAAAAAGCACTTTTTACACATCGCATCAGCCACACGGCCTTCAGGGAGTCCATTGGTTCAATATCTCAGCAGCAGCCAGGCTTGCTTGAACCAATGCGAGTGAACTGCCAGATGTTTATAAACAAGAACCATCTCTGAAGGGATATCTAAAAATACTTCAATTTTTTTACGTGGCGGGCGGGACAGCTATGGGATATAGGTACAGGTATTGATGTTCTCCACGCTAGAGGGCAACGCATCCACAACTAATCTCATCTTGCCACATCTTTCCTTTTTCGTAATCCATGTTCAAATCATTCAGTCAACCACCCTGCATCACAGAATATTTTAAAATATACTTTTCAATAAGGCCACACGATGTAATACTCTTCATCTTGGAGTGAGTTGTTTGAATCTAGCCGGTTAGGGTTGAGGAAGCACACAAACAAGTAGCCATTTGAACCGAGTACGCACCATCAAAGCACACAGAAACCACAACGCACTCCTCGGACTCCCACCACGGTGCACTGCTCACACGAGCGTTGAAACAGTGCTCCTCTGCTATTCCCAGCCCTGAGCCAGTGCTGGGAACTCCACATTCGTATGCCTAACGGAGAATTTCCACCACTGGCTCAAGGCTGTAAGTAGATGAGCACAAACTCAATCCTCACTGAAGCAGGAATTCAATGCCTTTTCATACTGCAGGAGTGGGGCAAGGTACAGGAATGAAACGTGGTACCAAATAAATAGTCTTGGTGTGATTCTGACTTGTAGCACACATACTACTGGTGCATGTTAATTAATGTCTTTGTTTTGCTTTCGTGTGTGTGTTAAATCACAGCTTACATTGGTAGCGGAGGCTCTGCTTCCGTTGTGAAGAAACTGGTAACACACACACACGTACAGCAGGAGTATTTAATACACACACACACATACAGCAGCAGCATGTAATATGAAGGTATCGTGAAATAAACCAATGCAAACTTCACGTGAACCGGGCAGCGATGATCGAGGATGCATGCGTGGTGACGACGTGGTGACACGTAGGAGCGTGTGCTCCTACGTGTCACCACGTGGTGCACACACAAACTCTCACAAAGGCCTGGCCTGGACATCCCGAGCAGGGCATTGTCCTGTAAACTCAACTCTTACTCGATGCTGAAGGTTTAAAATAACAGCAGCAATTGCAAAGTAACAATAATAATAATTATCAATCTAGATTTGAAGTTTTCGTGACTGCAGGGATCCATACTCTTTGGTTCTTTCGGTAAAGTCACGTAGGTAAAAAATAAAATAAATTAAATTACGACGTTTCGATCGCAACACAAGCAATCATCATCAGGTAGGAAAACCACAGCAAGAAAATGTTTGCTGAAGTGGGAGAGCGATACCGTGGTAAGAGGTTATATAGGTGAGAGAGGGGGGAGGGGCAAGGGAGGGGGTAGGGGGAGGGTTGCGTTGCGTGGACGCGAGGAGGGGGGAAGTGGGCGCGGCTGGAAGTGGGCGGGGCTGAGAGAGCTGGGGATGCGCGGGGGCTACAACAAAGCAGCAGCAGCAGTGCCAATAAAGCCAACAACCCCAATGCAGCAGCAATGCCAAACGCTGGGGATGCAGTTAACTCGGCAAAATAGACGAGTGCCCGGTAAATATGATGGAACAACCATACATTATTTAAGGTTTTATTTACCTGGTTAATAACATCCTTACAATGATTGCTTAATTTGTATCCATCTTCTCGGTTGAAGTTATGTCTATGTTTATATATCTGGATGGCTTCATGAACAAACCTTTGATAGTAGCCCGAAGGTTTGCAGAGCAACTTGGTCTCGGAAAAAACAATATCATGAGAGCCCACAGCGTTATAGCAATGGTCAGCCACGGCGGAGGTGTTAGTTCTGCCGTGTTTCAGATCTGCCTTGTGCTCGTGAATACGGTCCGAGACATGACGTTTCGTTTCCCCCATGTAATAATAATCACAGCATTGTTGTTTGTGTTGTTGTATTATATGCCTGCATCGGGTAACAGAGCCAGGTTTCCACTTAAAAGCTTGTGTACTGCACCTATTGACAAATATAAATATCTTGCATCATTTTTGCCACTATGTATCGCTTAGAGGTTGGATAACGCAGCCATGCTCTTTTCAGTTTAAACGGTGCAACAACGTAAAAATATTGGTGGTCAGCAACGTTCACAAAATGTGTCAACATTCTAACACGGGTAGTTGTGCAACGTGGGTAAGTTGTGTAACGAAGGAGTCATTGGTGTCCACGGACCCCGCGTTATAACGGGCTTGAAGTACAACATTGTTCAATGTGGTGTTGTATCCGATGTAATAGTAAGGTGGCTTGGCACCATTTTCAACATTACAGTGGAAAATAGCAACAAATTAAGTTGCTGATCCTTCTAAGTAACTTCTATAAAATTCATGTTTACGAACTTTTCCAAGTATCCAAGAATGACACTGAAATCCAAGCTGGCAGATATTGATGATAATAAAAGTGTATCACTCACTCTCTCTGAATAGCAATCTACACAGTCAAACCACATGGTGCAATGCAGCCAAAAACATGCATCTTCTGACTCTGAGGAACCTCAAACATTCCTTGCAGCAGTTGGCCTTTCAATCTGGTCTTGTTGACAAGTTTCTTGAAGCCCAAGTCACATACAGAGAGTGATGGTCAGATAGCTTGGGCAGGAGAGCTCTAGAATCCTCAACATGTTCGATGTATCCGGTGTCCTCTACAAATGCTCCGGACTAAGTCAGGTTTTCAAATGTTCTTGATGGTTCTTGTTTCAACTCCCTAGCGTGACTTCAATACTTATATCTCACTTTTACCCGGCATATACAATTTTATTTCCCTTTTATTTAAATTAGGCCTCCTACAGAATATCTACACAAAAGATAACTCCAGTAGTCCTGTGGCCATGGCTTGCTCACTCTTGTCAGCATCAAATGTAGAGAATTTGTCATTTTCTTATTCACAGAAGATGCACTTTTCAATGTTAAATGCCTGGCATTTACTGGCCTTTATCTCATCAGGCTGGTTGGATCTTAAACAGCATGATTTATGACGGCAAGCATGATGGGTAGGCTTTCACCACTTGCAAAACAAAGCTTAACAGGAAGGGCATCGATGGCCCAGATCTGTGCTATATTTGTCAAGAATGATGTGTGGACATCCTTATTGTCATCACTCATTCCAGGGGTGTTCAAGTGGCATTTCAAAGGTTCAGCAGTGTCTTGCTGTCAAAGAACGCAACAATTACAGTCTAAATCAATCGTGTGTCACCATGGCGAAAAACATTCACAACTTATATACAAACAAGAATAGACACACAAGAAACAATTCCACTGATTCTGTCACTGAAAAAATTATTATACAATGGAGCGTATTAAATGTGCAGCTCTGGCTCACTTCTTATCACTCTTACAAGATGGCTTACAACGCTTAATATTGCTTGAGGCTCTTCAGAGTCATAAGATTGTTTAGCTGCATGCACCATGTGGCTTGACTCTGTAATGTCAGTATTCAAAGAGCAATTTAGTGATAAACTTTAACTTTACCATCAATATCGGGCACCATCTTGGATTTCAGTGGCATATTTGGATACTGGGCAGCATGCAGGAGAGCCCCGAATCTGAATATAATGTCCTGAAAGACCCACAAGAGCAGGTTGGTAATTATGTCCACCCGGTAACAGCAATTCTCCTGAGCCACCTACAGAGGTGTTTTACATTTTCATCGTCTTGGCCTGTTTTAGAGTTGAATGATGGACTAAGGTATGTCTGTGTATCAGAGTGCATGCCTACGTGCGCGTGGGGAGCGATAGTGTAGCGGTGAGCGCGCTGCGTTACGAGCCCGGCGACCAGAGTTAGATATCCGCTCACGGCCAACGCCAGTGACAATTATATTAACCCGTGCTGGGCCTCCTCTAGGTCGACTCAGCCTCAAATTAGTACCTTGTGAGGTATGTAAATATTGCCACTTGGGAGACAAAGGTAGCTGAACATGGTGCCGGCTACTCACCACCCCATATGCCGTACCGGCCTTCATCGGTGCTCACTAACAGCACTTGTCCCAACAGTCTGGCAAGGCTACACGGGGGATCCTTGTGTGCGAGCGGTACCATCGTGAGCTCCGCTTCCAGCTCTTTGATGCGGTTGTCCCGCGCGTCGAGTTGCGTGCGCAGCGCGAGCGAGCGGTCCGTGGCCTCCCGGACGCGCCTCAAGATCTCCCACTTCTCACGATCCGAGCTCTCCCGCTCCACAACCAAGGCCCGAGTGGCTTCCTCATTCTCCTGCCACAATAAATCAAGAGTCAGCCGATACGCCTCCTTTCCATGTCTGTTCCTCCACATGAAAATAAAAGTATTTTGTACATATATTGGATGTACAATGGGAAATTGGGTACTAAACTGGGTCGTGATCAGACATGAAAGAGGCCGCGCAAACCTTGCGGTGTAGCTCATAGTTGCGAATGAAAGTGCGCAGTTGGTCCTCCTTCTCGTCCAGAGTGCTGTACAGCTGCTTCATCTGGCTCACCAAGTCGCCCTTCTCCTCACGCAGCCTCCGCCGGTCGGCCTTCATGGCTGCACAAACAGGAGCAGCGGCGGCCATGGCCGAGGCAAAAACTCAACGGTCACCAATACCACTGCGGCCTAAGAAGGATAAATATATATAATAGGCAACGTTTCAGGCAAAGGCCCTTCTTGCCATTGTCAGAAAGGCAATTGCTTCAAAACGTCGCCGATTATAAATCACAGCGTCATTGACGACTGTGTTGAGCATTTGCAATGTGTCCTTGTGCAACGCTGCCAATGCAGCAGCATCACCAAATAATATGTTTAATTATGGCCGAGACAACCTAGTGTGCCTACTGATTGGAGTAAAATTCACGGGAACAGTAAACAGAGCGATGAGCAGGAGACGGACTGCCGCGGAGCGAGTGACCGGAGTCTCGAATCGTCCCGACTGCTCTGCTCTCGACTCTATCCGGCGCTGCGAGGTAGGGAACGGGTGGCCCACCCCAGTGGTGCCACCCGTAGTGACTGGCAACCACTGAAATTGTCTGAAATCAACTCTTTTAATTGCTATGATGAGTCTAATCACCATTTCTAGAATTAATCATGTGAATTGGGGCTATTAATGTAGTCATATAACCACAGGGCATAGAATGTGGTAAATTAAAAGTACACAATCTTCATTGTATCAATATGGAATGTGAACATTCAAAAAGACACAAAGTTAAAGTGTACAATGTTGTCATGTTTTCAAGTTTTAATACAACGCCTGTTGTTTTAAAATGTGGCTCAGCGGGACAGCAAATAGCTCACAATCGCACCATGACGAGAATTAAAATCCTGATTGGGGGTTCCTTCAGCCCATCATGCCTCCAGGGCCAAAAAAGTGAGAACGACTTTGTGGCGAAGTCAACAGTGGTTGTTCTATGAAAAGACTCGCCCCCGCCATGAAATGTGGAATTTCCACCACTGGCTCAGGGCTGTAAATAATCGATGAACACCAATGCCTCAATGTTCACTGGAGTAGGAAATTACGGACTGTTGTTGACCTGTTAGGGGACAGGAGGCTGTGGAATTATTCTCTAGGTCTGAATAATTTTTTATGCCATGTCCAATGCAAGCTCTGCAGGTTTTCATTGACCTCTGCAAGTCTTTATGTAACCTTCCGTTTGCCACGTGCTGTAAGTCAATGCACCCATTTCGATGTCCGTGCATGCCCCAGGAGAATTCTGGATGTTGAACCATAATCGGTCAACCAGCAATAATTTTCTGAAGATTGATGATTTCGAAAGTCAGCAATCGGTAATCAATTCACGTTGAATATTAGGACGTGCGGAAATGTTTTCTTAAGAAGAATGATAATAGGCAACAATGCAGCTCTGCAATTACTTGTTCACGCCACTGCTGGGTATTTGGTCTCTTTGTTGACCAGACGTGACTTGCCGATCAACATAACCAGCGTATCCAATTATCCTGCTGGCTAGAGAGAGGCAGCGAGTAAAACTTATCGAATCGGTGACCTCTGGATTGCAAGCCCATCCAGTGCCCTAGCCATTACGCCAAGGCAGCCACCTTCGTCTCCAATTCTAAAAGGTGCACCGTTCTACGTTTGTTGCTGGAGACGTTTGTCCCTGGCTTTTCCTCACGCGACTTTCAAGCGATGATTTCGGCAACAAAGGCGCTCCGCGCGCCGCTCGCCACGCGCGTTACCTTGCAGCGCCTCCTTGGCCCGCGCGAGTTCGTTCTCCTTCTGCGTGAGCTGCACCACGAGCTGCGTGCCGGGCAGCGCGAGCGCCACAGGCTCCACGGGGGAGCCCCCCCCTCGCGGCGGGGGGTGCTGCTCGCACGGCGGGACCACTCCTCGACAGTCCTCGAGCTCGGCAAGCAGCAACCGGTTGACCTCCTCACTCCTGGCGATCTCCACTCGCAAACGCTCCACCTCCTTTTGAAGGTACACTGCGAAGAGACGCACCATGCAGCACCACCGCTCACAGTGATCACCTCGCATGGCCTTCGAGACCTTGCGGCTGCACTGAGGGTAGGAATCGTACGTACACGGGCGTGGCTTACGTACGTCCCATCTGATAACAACAAAGCGAATGTACTGGCTTTATGGTGTTAGAGCCCCAAGCTAGTGGTGGGCCTCTACATTCCTACGGTGGGGCTCAGTTAATCCATAGGACAACCATTAAACCATTGATGTTCCCATAATGTGGTAATGTGGTACCTACTTTATCGATCACACACGGATGATTGGCTGTGTCAATACTAAACAGGATTTGAACTTGCAACCTTCCAAATGCGAGCCAATTGCTGAGAACAGTTATAGTGGCAATGTTTTGCCTACTCTGTACAAGTTCCGGGGTCCTGTGGAAGGCAGCAATGATGTAGGAAACCTGTGATATTTCCAACGCTGCTGTGCTCACTTATCCTGCGTGTGCCAATTCCTGAGAGAGAGGAAGTTTGGAGTATTAGTCCGAATCTACCCAAACTGGAAACATTGACGGTGCTGACACTACTTCACCTGTTGTTATTGACGGTGACACCATAACTTACATATAGTTTACAAACTTAATAGTACAACCATCAATGTAAAGTCTCTTACAACTTGGATCGGGGTGGACGAGGAGCCCGAGCCTGGCGTGCGAGCCACACACGGAATTATCAGTTCCCAGATGTGAAGCGAATAGGCTCCCTCGCCCAATGTAGCTCGGCACATTCATCAATACGTATTTTCTCGTTTGTGCACGAATGCCAATGTAACATCACTCAATAATGCGTTTAATCTTTACGTAACTGTATTCCCAGGGCAGCTATGCGTGATATCCTATTCAAATATGCACACCGCACTGCATAAATAAATACGCTTCAGAGGATTTGCAAGGCAATTTCAGCTCTTCCCGCGATGCCGCATGGTTACGTGCCACATTGCAGGTCACCCCGCTTCTCTTTCTGCTTCTCCCCTGCAGCGCTCCACTTTGAAGTTCCCTCCTCAGCCTCTTTTCCCGGCTCTGCGGCGAGCGCCGCCAGCTCGCTACGAGGGCCCCGCGGGGCACGGCGGCCCCGGAGGCTCACGCGCGCCAGACGCGGCCACCGCGCCTCCCCGTCGGGCGGGAGCAGTGCCCGTGGCCTCTCCGCGTTGGCGAGAGCTGGCGGAAATCGAGCGGGTCCCCCTCCCGGCAGCGCAGGCTGCCCTGCTGTGGCCGGTAGGAGCAATGCACTGCGGGGCCGTTTGGTGGACTAAGAACTGGCACGGATGGCTCCATCAGATTAAGTCATTATTGACAACAAGCATATTCTGAGGATGAGACGCTGCGGGGAGCAGTGGGACCCGAGAAAAGACTGTGAACTAAAGAACTACACCTTTCATACCGAATAATTGCTACATCTAGAGATATCTGGTGACGTGATGAGTCACTTGGCTAGGAATGTTTAATCCCCACTGAAGATTAAACACGTCATCTCCCTAAGTGTATGCACATATATCTTACAAACAGTTTCCCGTTACCATTATATGTGTGTAACAGGTGTGCAGCGTACGTGGTTAATTGCATGAAAGATCGTGCCACCTAGTGGCTGCTGTGGCGTGGGGTGCCTTAAGCACGTTCATGACCTGAATACATTCCCTAGCAGTCCGCAAGCGTTAGCTCAGGAATTAAATTAATAATGGGGGGAGTTCTGCAGAACTTTCTAATAGCCTCTGAACCCCTTCCACCGAGAAAGGTGGTTCAGTGAATGTGTTTATAAACCTGGGAATAGAGGATTCAGATTAGCTACTCAATGGCAACAGTTGAAATTTGAAGTTAACTTCGCCTGTAATTTCAGATTATATAAGTGGGAATCTGGCATTGTTCAGTTAATTCTGCACTTAGTTCTTGGAGGAGTGAAACTTCGTGTGTGCGAGGACTTGGGGTCATGCTGCGTGACCGTGAAAACAGATATCGTGTTAACAAAGAGCGGTATCATTGGAGCATGGCGTGCCTGAAGAGAGTTTCAGCTCTTGTACAGACGTTGTCACGTTACGTCAACCATGCGTACACATTCCGTTGGGGGAGCAGAACACAATGCGCAGGAGCATGTAGAGTTCACAAGGTAACTGACCCCCTGCTGTCTGAGCAAGGTCACGGCCGGAGAGAGCGAGACGCGGTTACTGTGCTTGTTTATTAATCTACGAGATATTGGGTGCGTGTTTGCGTGCCTCCGCATCCAGTAACCATGTGTTCTTTATTCACCGTGCAAGATGCCATGCGTGTCTGTGCGAGTCCTACTTTTATAACCTTTCTCAATGCAAGAGACGTGTGAACGCTTCTATATCGCAACTTCGATCGATGGCCAGCTGATGCTCTAAGCCTTTGCGCCCAAGCTCCGCAACCGTGTCCAGAAATAAAATAAAATAAAAGGGGAATTGACGAGGTACCATTAAGGAAGGCTTTTGGACATTTTTGCGTTTCCAATCATTCTGTTGTTATACACATCAGTGTGATAGACACATTACTGTACAAGGCTGTTGGCCAACGCCGTGCACTGAATGGGTGGAGCGCCAAAATGACGAGCGTAAATCCTCTAATTATTTTGTTTAACCAGAGGTGTGAAATGCAGAGACCGTCCTGTGAGCTGGAATCCCCACGACTCCAGCTCCAGTGCTCCACATCGCTACGGCTCATGCACTTTGCAAAATGTCACCGAACACATGAGACAAGCCGGCATTGCAGATGACAACACCATAGCAGCTCGCAATTAAACACAATCTATATGAATAGTTAATTGCTGGAGAGAGCTTTATAAATGCATGGTGCATTTAATTCGTACCAGAGCAGCACAATTACAGATAAGGCCATACCACGGGATCATAAAATAATATCACATTAACATATGAAAACAAGCAGCTTTAATATTCCCTCCCTGGAGTAACGCATGTAGAGGCAGATGTACTGGCAAACCCGAATCTGTGATGTCTGTGCTGCGGAATAAGCCACTACACCTGGGGACGTGCGTGTAGTAGTAGGGTTTATTTAGTTTCCAAAATCCCCTCTGCTTGGACATCCCTTCGTGATAATGCCACGGTGTCGTGGGACCAGTGTGGGGAGCAGCGGGCCAATGCACCATGCCCGACCTCTCCTCTCAATACAGCCAGCCAGCCGAATAATGTAATAATGTAACAACGTGGTACATTAAGAATGGAGAATGTGTTACCACCACATGATGAACAGTGGTTGAAATGTAAATATAGCAATTATGTTATGAAATAAAAGAACACTGCAGCCCACGTTCACTGTCATTTCCCCTCTGCGGAAACGTCATTGGGTATTGGGATAGAAACCGTTGTGAAAAGTCCTTGGAAATGTGTTTGGTGTTCTGAGTAGTGCCGGAGTGGTGTATTGGCTCATCCCCACCCTCGACTGTGCCCGTATCACATGTCTTCATGGTAACAATCGCGACGTCAGCAGATGCCAGGTGACAGCAATTTTGGGGGAAAAGTGAGGAAGTGATAAGAGTTATGTTTTGATCAATCAGAAACAATCAAAACATTCTGATCATCCACAATTTTCTATCTAGGCCTCATTTTTTATTTTTTTGATGAATCTAAAAATCTAGAGCAGTCCTCTCTGTACTCGATCTGGTATTATTATAAATGGCACCTGGGTGAATTTAAAGTAATCTTCTGGTAATAACAGGCACTTATCATTTGTTACGCATCATCTGGCTCGAGCGTTATCTATTTTATGTACACTTTATGTTGCATCGATAAAACTAGGTAAGACTCAACCTTTCTCTAGACTCATGAATGTTTAATGTCCCTCAGAGCTTTGTACTTTCAGAGGCCAACCTCGTCACCCATCTCTAAGCCTAGGCCTGCATGGCACTCAGTAGTATCCCTGCAGGTTTTAAATGGCTTAATATTAATGAGATAATATATTCTGAGATATGATATATCTTGCTGTGTGAAATACATAACGATAAAAGCAATGGCCATCTTCCCAGTAACAGGGTGGGACCGAACCTTGTAGGCCGACATCGCATGCAATTGGAGAAAGCTTGCCACTTCTCTGGGTTTGATCCGGACAGTCCAGGAATTAGTGTCCGTATTTGGGTGTCAAGAGTTGAGTTGTACCGAGATCTGGTACCGGTATCGCGTCGAACTTTACGACAGTTCACTGCACAGTGTTGATGGGGAAAAGCCTGGCTGTGCAGAACACGTGGCAGCCCTGATGTTGACCCAGGAGAGCACCAGTCAGCTACAAGGCCAGAGATTAATATTACACAGCACGATAGTCCACACAAACAAGCAGACACAAGTACATAGATGCAGAACACATATAGTCCATATGAGTCACACGCTTGTTGCTTCAAGGGACTTTTACAAACCTCCTCTGTGTGAGAGCATAAGACTTCACGATGTCTTTCACATGACGTTAATAATAGGCTTCAAATGCATAAGAGGTTTTTTTGGGTTAAATCACATATTATTATTCTGTTGATAATTTTTTCTATCTACGTGACTTTACCGAAAGACCCAACAAATATATAAATGTGTCGTTAAAAGCCTCCACCACCCGACACAGCCGACTAGTAAGGGTTGTCACGTAAACAGAACGTGGCCAATTCGTCACGAGTACAGCACCAACCGGTGTGTTGGAGAGCCAAACCACGACATTTACAAACTGAGTACGACGTTTCGCCAGTAATTACAACCAGCTTCATCAGGCGACAGCCAGATTTGTGGAGAAGTCTGTTTCGTTCCTTATCTAGAGGCGTAGATGTGGTGACCACACTTCTGCGCTCTTCCACAATGTGGGGGGGGGGGGGGGGTTACTGAGGCAACGTACATTATGCATGTGCATTATGCGAGCCCTTTGAACTTGTCCTTCCTGTCTATTGTGTGTATTAAAATAGCCGTACCAACGGTAATAGCTATTGAAGTATGCTGCCCTTCGTAGGCATGCATTTAAATAATG